TTTTAATGTAAATTTAAATAATTTTTTTAAAAAGACAAAAAAAAACCCAACAAACAAACTACAGTTTGAAAAACTATGTGAATGCCCAAAAATGCGAATGATTTTAGCCTGTACAGAAAGAACTCATTTGTAGTGAAATCAGGCATTACCATACTTCTTTTTGCCGCAGACATCGAACAGATTGATTGGGTTCGTTAAAGATGATTTTTGAAATATTTTTACAACTTCAGTTCTCAAATAGATTTAGGCTTACAAAATCAAAGAGATTTAGATATTCTGATATGGCAAACTCCTGCAGCTGGGCACTCTGGATTTTAGAGAAGTGCGGTAGGAAGAAAGAACTTTTTGTGGATGTGTTGGAGTTTAAGCATGGCTGCTTATCATGAATCCTAGTCATAGTCAAAGCATGGTCGCAGTGATGGCAATATCCGATTTTGGCCCCAAGAGTAAATGAACTAGCAATAGTAACCTTATACGGGTTAGGGTTAAAGGGTTAGGAGTAGGGGTAGGATTATTGGTTAGTAGTATGGTAATAATAGTAGTCGTTGGGGCCAAGACTGGATTATCCTGCAGTGATTAGGACGATTTGGAATTTCCACTTTCCGCCAGATTCCTATATTTTATTCACTTATATAGAATGCATGTATATTTGACTACCACTTATGTACTTGGATAATTATTGTTTGGAAAATGAATTATAGAGAAATACAGGGGAGGGGGAGGGGGATGTCCCCTTAACCGCCCATATTCTTTAACTCACAGTTGCAATGACATGAGGAAAAAAATGACTTAAAAGCTATCTTAAAATATCAAGGTCAATGTAATGAATTTTGGCGTCCGATTTTCTCGAAAAATGTATGGTTGTAGGTATTTTTATCTTTCTTTCTTTCTTTCTTCAACTCCAAATTTGATATTTTCTTCACCAGATCACTTTTTTGCAATGTCTTGTCTTGAATGCTTTGTTAGGCCTATGTTTTAAAAATGACCTTATTTATGTCTATCAGGGCATTACCAGACTGTAGCAACAAAGAAAAGTTAACAGAAATCCTGTACATATGTTCCTAGGACCAACTTCCTGGACCAGGAGTGGTTCACCCTGGAGACAGCCGGAGTCATGATTGTGGGCTGGGAGGGTGGACCCATGAGGAACCAGGCGGGCACGCTACACACTCCGTACGCCTTCCACTCCGAGTTTGAGTCCACCAAGGCCGTGTCTGACCGGCCACGCACCACGGCTATCGAGATTGCTGCGGCTGCAGCTACAGGTATGGAACGGTGTCACTATAAAAAGAACTGATGTCATGACGCATTATCGGGTACGAATATTTTATTTCTTTTATGATTTGATCATGGGGCTCATATGACCTTATGCAGTTGCGAACGCCATAAAACCTCTACTAAAACTAAACTAAAACTGATTTGATCATGAATGATTGTAAATACAGTGGAATCTGCTCCAACAACCAACTATTTATTAAGACAGTCACTTGTATAAACGGCCACTTCCTATTCCAAACCGTGTGATGTTTTTATATTATAATGATTTATGTCACTGTAAGTTGGCCATTCGTCTCTAAGACTGCCAATTTCTCCTCGACAACTGATGTCTCTCTTAGACTGTAAGTTAAGTGGCAGGCTGTTTTGGTCGTCCTTATCTCTTCCCCTTTTCTTCTTTGTACGTTACTCTCTAGTAACACCTCTAATCCTTGGCACTTATACGACCTATTTGTGTTGCAAATGCTGCAAAACAATTACTAAAACTAAAATAATCTCTATACAGTTGCAAGCGCCGTAAAACTCTTACTAAACTAAAACAAACCAAAAATCCCTTTCCCCCCTCCAGGAGCCCCCCCACCCCCCCTGTACGCCCCAGCGCCCGAGGTAGAAGACACCCCGCGCACGTACCGCTCAGACAAGAGCAAGACTTCAACTCAGCCCAGCTCCAAGCTACAGGAAGATTCCTCTCCCCTGACCACGGCCGCCACCGTCGAGGCGCTGGAGAAGACCTTCACCTACTTCAAGAGGGCAGTGGTACGTCACCCTTTGTGTCACGTCACTCTTTGTGGAATGTAAAGTCACATCATGTCATGTCATGTCAGTGGGTGGTTGGTGGGCGCTCTTGTGTGGTTTGCTCCTTCTTTCCTATCAAACATCTTTCGTCAATATCTCTCCTCCTTCTTACTTATCAAACATCTATCATCCTTAACTCTCAACCCTCGTTTATTAGTGTATTACTTTGTTAGTAACACATATAATCTTCAGCACTTAAATGACCTGTTTTGTGTTGCAAGTGCCCGTAAAACTCTTACTTAAACTAAGCCAAATACAGTGTCATGTCATGTGATATATGGTCAGGCCATGTTTGTATCTCATCACGTCATGTGTCTCGCTTCATTTGACATTTCACGTCATTTAATGTCCTTCCATGTTATGTCTACTCACACCTCTACCAGTCTTTGCCACTTGTATAACCTAATTGTGTTGCAAGTGCCGTAAAACTCAGTAAAACCAAACTAAGATGAACAGGTTGATGAACTTTGACCTGAACCTTCCCCAGATCCTAGCCCACAGAGGGCAGCACTGGACCCTGCTGCAGAATGCGGGCCGTGGGTTGTGGAACTGTGCGCACACGGCACTGCTGCGGGCCTTCACCGCTGACCAGACAGGAAGTGACCCCGGCCTGCTCACCATGGACATGCTGCGGACGCTGGTGTGGCATCC